CGTCCGAGGAAGGCGCTCGCATTTTCGCACAGAACCAGAAGGAGCTCTTCAGAGTCTTAAGCCTCAACAAGGTACCCGCTGGTGGCGCGCGGTGGGATCTGGCAGACGAGCGGCCGAGGTCTTGTGCAGCCCCAGTCATTGTTGTCCTGTGTTTCAGAAATGCGACTCTTCGCTCCACAGGCTGGTGGTGGCCTCCGTCAGCCCGCAGTCCGTGCCTTACTTCGCCATGAAGTTCCGCCTGTCCGTCTGCGAAGCCGCTAGGAAGATCTGCGGGTTTCTTAAAAGTCTAGGTGAGCTGTGGGGCGCTGACGATGCACATTGCAAGTCCATAACAAATCCTGAAAAGCAAATACGCTGCAAAGAAACAGTTCTAATACTTGATTGCCTCCAATGTGTTTAAGTTGGTGACAGGGTCTCTTTAAAGTGGACTTTTCCATTGAACGTATTTGTAACTGGCTGTGTATTATATGACCGTCCCTCTTCTTTTTTTTTTTTCTCCCGCCAGGCGTCCACCATGTTTTCGACACGACGATCTCCGCAGACTTCAGCATCCTGGAGACGCAGAAAGACTTCATCCAGCGGTTCAGGCGGCAGACGCAGGACGAACACGCCTTCCCCATGTTTGCGTCGGCCTGTCCCGGTAAGAAAGACGATGCATGTTGTAGTTTTAGACTTTTGCCGTGATCTCCATTTGATTTCTCTGACGGGTTTGAGGAACTGACTTCCAGCCACTTTCTTAAAGGATCTGTCCACTTGCTTGGAGTGTCTGCCCGCTTGCTTTGAAAGGTCTGCCCGCTTGCAGCCGCTTGCTTTGAAAGGTCTGCCCGCTTGCAGCCGCTTGCTTTGAAGGGTCTGCCCGATTGCAGCCGCATGCTTTGAAGAGTCTGCCCGCTTGCAGCCGCTTGCTTTGAAGGGTCTGCCCGCTTGCAGCCGCTTGCTTTGAAGGGTCTGCCCGCTTGCAGCTGCTTGCTTGATGGGTCTGCTTGCTTGCTCTGAAGGGCCTCTGCTTCCCATAACCGTCAGTTTTTCTGTCCACCTTTTGTTGCACTTCATCGTACATTTCTCTCTTCCATTGGGAAAGATCATCTGGCAATCACCCTTGCTCTGCCACTTCTCTGTCATTTCAGCAGCCAGTGCAGACACCCTACACTGTGAGCTTGATTGGATATTTCAGCTGGTGTTTAGGGGTATGATGGGGATTTAAAGTCTATCTAAAGCCAAACCATTTTTTTATTGTATTTTTGGATCAAGTAAGAAATGATTGAAACCCTGTCATGTTTTTTATATGGGAGTGGGGGAATCCTCTCTTAGGTAGGTGTCCCCCATCGCAAGATTTCCCCTTACTTTCTGTTTCAGTGACCATTTTAAGATGTTGAGCTTCCCTTGTTGTAAATGGCGATGACGGTGGTCTCCAGGTCAGATGGAGAGGGTGAATCTCCCAAGTGGGGACATCCGTAAAAGCCATTAACCCCTTCCCATTCCATCCCCCAAAAAGTGGGGGCTAGATCCCCTTTATCCACATGCTCTGTGCTCTCCGGACACAGTTTGTCTCGGCATGATAAAACATAAATCGGGAGCTTTCAGCCGAAGCTGATTGAAGGTCAGAGGCCCGATAGGTGACGAGCTTTTTCTGAGAACAGCGGTGACGTCCGCCTTTTTTTTCGTGAAGGGGAAGTTTCAGAATAGAAGAGGATTTGCTGTGTCAGCTTTTTTTTTTTCTTTTTTTTTTTCTATACATGGCACGTTGCCTCTGTCCTACCTTATGCCTAGCCAGCAGATGAGAGGTTAATCCGTGTCACCTCCAGCACACATCTGATCACGTTGGCACGGCTGCCGCAGAACCTTTTACTGCCTATTGATCACACTGCGGCCACTCCTTTTTTTTTATATTTCCGGCTCGGGATTAACCCTTTCACTGCGGCGAAATAAAAAATTGATATAAGAGAAATATAATATTTCGTACATGTCTGCAATACATGCGCATTTCCTCGCGTTGTATCCCTTTTAAAGGAGAACTATGGGGTTAAGGCTTTTCCCCATAGTTCTCCTTAGGGTAACGGGAGGACACAAACTAGCGTCCTCCCGTCACCCTAGGCTCAGTATAGCTGTAGCTCGCGGTATACTGAGACGCCGCAGCTGAAGCGGATCCCGACAATTGTGCCGGGATCCGCCCAGCTGCGTGACTGACAGCTGGCTCTGCCTATCTAGAGGCAGAGCCAGCTGTACCCGCCCCCTCCCCCGTCCGTTCCGCCAGTCAGCGCTGGCGGAGCGGGGAGGGGGGAATCCAGCCCCTCCCCTGTCACGCCAGAGAGCCGTGACAGGATCGAGAGGTGAGCGAACGCCGGTATGTGTTCTCTCGCCTCCCGATCTACTGAGCCGACCTGTGACAGTCTCATTGTCACAGGTCGGCTAGAACTATGAGGTGAGTGAAAAGCACCCGCCTCATAGTTCTCCTTTTAAAGACACAGAAAATAAAATGCCTGTTAAACTTCCTGAGAAATGCAGCTCCAACCTAATCTCTCCCATCAATGTGTACCGGGTCAGGTAGGACCTTGAACTGCATAGCTGTTGGTAGATCTGTCCCGTCACTCTGCATCAACCATTGGTGCTGGATAGAGGATCAAGCATCTCGGGGGGAAATATGGAAAGTGTGTGGCCAGCTTAAAGCGCTGCTGCCATGAAATGACCTCCTCCTGTTCCTATCACCGGAATGTCATTGTGACTCTTCTCTCTGAGCTCAGGGCTGTTATATTGTATCTGGAGTCCAGCAATCGGGGAATCGAGCCCACATCCCCGGTGCCGAGGTGTCTAGTTCTATCCCGGTACTGGATATGGTGAACCCTGAGCCCCCTGCTGAGTCTCCAGACCCCCCACTGTGGGCACAAGAGTCCATTGGTGACACACACACACGGGGACCCGTTGGTGGCACACAGGGACCAGCGGCATCACTAGAGGGGTGCGTTTGGTGCAACCCAGACCCGGGTGACACCAAAATGACTGGCAGTCGTTTTGGTGGCACCCCCTCTGAAAAGTTGGGCACTCGGTCATGGACAGAGAGCCCGACAGTTGCACAAGAGAGGAGGGGACCTGGTGGCATACCTTATACCGCCGGTTGAACGTCCCCTCCTCTCTCTATCTCGGTGATAGATGCCGGCGGGTTAGAGCACATGTAGTCATCACGTGCGTGGGTGATGGCGTAACAGCGGGGTGTCACCCGGTGCCCGTGCCACCCACCAGCCAATTTACAACATACAGGGACCCGTTGGTCACACGCACAGGACCCCATTGATGACACATGGAAATCAGTTGATCTCGCGCGCACACACACACACACGGACCAGATGATGACTTGATGATCACACTCGCTGGAACCCACTGATCATACTTGCTGGAACCCAGGGCTGTAATTTACAGACCATGGGGCCCCATAGCAAAAATGTGATGGGGGTCCCCCTGATGATCTCGCTGTGAGCTGTAACGCTGCCAAGATATCAAAGTCTCTACCCTGTAGACTTTACTTTGTCATCAACTGCAACCACTCCAGCCCTATATGACACGGTACTGTATTATCTTCACATGTTCTATGTCTAATGTCTTAAAAAACCTAATGGGGCCCCTTCCACCACCAGGCCCCATAGCAGCCGCCTGGGCTACAGTTACGCCACTGCTGGAACCCACTGATCAATCATGCTGATCAGATGACTGACACGCAGGCAAGGTTTTCATGTAACATTTGTTTTATCGAAGCTGCTGATTTTCCTGTAACGCCTAATAACGCTGACCTGTGTCACAGCGCCCATTTTATGAAGCTATCATTTCAGATGGGTGTGGGGTGAAGCGAAACACAAACATTGTGCAATGATGCCCCCCCCCCCCCCCTGGTTTTGTTTTCACGGAGTGTCAGAACGGAAAGTTCAGAGAAGTGAAAGTGCTGATGTGGACTGAAACCTGCTTTGTGTTTTTTGCTCCGGCTATAAATACACGCTGCATTCACTCGGGAGGAATTGGCTAGCTGAGCAAACATGACACAGCAAAATCCAGCCGCTCGGGGAGATCAAACACGTCAATCACTGTGCTGATAGGCTAAAGGGCTCCGAACTAACAGGGACGGAGGTTGTGGCCAATGAGAAGATGCTGAAAATTCAGAATCACTTAGATGAACACATTTTAGGTGCATTTAGTTTGGCAAAGTTTTACAGTTGGTTTTCTATAGCTAGTGGTAGAAAAGCCTTCCTCCTGCCAGCATGAGTGGGGCCCTTGCTGTCTGTGTGGAAGCAGTGGTCTCTCTGCAAAAGGTCTGGCATGCTCCCTGAGTTAGATCCAGAGCGCAGAGCTGTAGGTCAGACTTGGTAAGGAGTGTGTCAGAACTCTGTGCTTTTAGAAAGACATACAGTCTTGTTGATCTAAAAAAGGACTATGTAGAGGCGTATCTACAACAAATTGCGCCCCTGGCATCCGGCCAAGCTCCTGGCAATCAGTGACTTCACTATTTGCCGGGAGGTGTGTAAGGGCCATACACCTAAGTAAAGGATGGACACTGGCACTCCAAAGCAAGTTCAGTACGGTTGCCAGGAGCTGGGTGGAATGCAAGCCAGAGCATCCCAGATTTGCTAAAAGCTGGGCAGGGAAGTGTGTAAAGGCCATTCACATCTCCCGACCTGGCCCTTAGCAACCAGAGTGGGCAGGGAGATGTGTATGTGGGCAGGACACTGGCCAGGGCATCCCAGGTTGCCAAGTGAGTGAGCTCCTGTGAGCCCCCGAAACGTTGTTTAGACTGTTCTATTTGCAACTAGTACGTTAATAAACAACGTTTCTGGGTCTCACAGGATCCCCTTCATCAGGCAAACAAGGGCGATACACCTCTCCCCACCTGGCTCTTGGCAACCTGGGATGCCCTGGCCAGTGTCCTGCCCGCATACACATCTCCCAGCCCACACTGGTTGCTAAGGGCCAGGTGGGGAGATGTGAATGGCCTTTACACACTTCACTGCCCAGCTTTTAGCAAATCTGGGATGCTCTGGCTTGCATTCCACCCATTCTTCGTAGGTCAGCAAACTTCTCCTGACCCATGGAGTGGCACCCCCCCACCCTCTCTCCTTCAGGTGGCACCCTCATCCCTTCAGGTGGCACCCAGGACATGTGCCATAGCCCCAGTGGCCTATCAAAGGTATGTCACTGAGAGCACTTGCATCAGATCACGTGACTTTGTTTATAAACAACCCCACGCCAAGCGGCAGAAATTAGATGCTGATGTTGCCTAAATTTTAGCAAATGGGAAATCCATAATCTCACTGCAATATAGGCCACTCATCCCTATTGTACAGCTCCAGGTTGCAGTGGTATGGTTGTCCCTACAGTCCTGCTTCTGATGTACATTAAAGGGGCAGAACCTTTTTATATGTGCTCTTTGTTTTTTCTCCCCCAGGTTGGGTCCAGTACGCGGAGCGTGTTCTGGGCGACTCGGTGACGCCTCACATCTGCACAGCAAAGTCTCCTCAGCAGATCATGGGATCGCTAGTGAAGGGTTACTTCGCCTCGCACAAGGTCAGTCCGGCAGTCACCGCGCCTCGTTACGTCTGCCAAGTCCGTAAACACATTCCACTGCTGGAGGCTCTTTTGTGAAAACACAATGCTCATTCCTTGTCTCCTTGTCTCTGTCTTCCCCCAGAAACTGGCCCCTGACAAGATCTTCCACCTCACCGTGGCCCCATGCTATGACAGAAAGATGGAAGCCCTCAGGGAGGACTACTATACCGAGCTGTACAACTGCCGAGACGTGGACTGCGTGCTGACGTCAGGTGAGCGCCCTCAGCCACCAAGTTTGGGAGAAAATGGCCACAGGTTGGCTCCGTTGTGCCATTTATCTTCTGCCAGGCTCACCCAGGAGTGACTACAAATACTGAGATTCAATATATATATATACCCATGAAAAATAGGAAACTTATAACTTCTTCCTATCAGTTGAAGGCATGCAATGGCTGCGTTAGTATCAGTTGGCTATTTATTGGCTTCAATTGAAAAGAGGGTGATTTACCCAGAGTACCAAACCCAGAATTAATTTGGATATATTAATTCTTGTGTTACTCTCAAAGGAAACAACCCCCAGTTGCTTTTTACTAGACACAAAACGGAGAGGTGAGATGAACCGATAGGGGTCAACTCAAAGTGCAGCTATAAAAGAGTCAAAATATAGTACAAAATTCATAAATTTATTGATTATAAAAATTCTCTGGACATACTAAATGCACCACTTAAACCAACACCCATAATGCATCTAAAAAATGGTTATCGCAACAACCCGTTCACTCATAAAACACAAACATGCACTCTAAGGACGGGCTGATTAGCGTAATGTATGATGCAGGATGGTCCTCAAAGTGTTTGAGGAAACAGTGCTTTGACTGTAGTTATAAACTGAATATAATTAGGAGGATTTTGTTTCTCAAACCTAGGGTCCTTTATTCAATTGTATTTAAATCTTTTCAGTAGATCTGAAAGGATTGCGATCTCTCAGGCTGGTAGTGTAGCCAATCAAATGTTACATTTGTAACCTTTGCTCTTGATTTAGGCTGGGTTCACACCTAGGCGTATTGAATATGCGTGTCTGTCGCGTGTTTTTTTTTACCGTGATTCGCGGTAAAAAAGTTGCGTGACCGTCGCGCGATTCCAAAGGCTACTTGGCTGTATCCCAATGTAAAACGGCCCAAAGAAGTACATGTACTTGTTTGAGCGTAGGCCGTTTTGTAGGGCGTTTCAGACGGGCGGAAATACGGAAAGGTGTGAACCAGACCCATAGAAAACAATGGGATTTTCATGTTTGTACGTTTTGTTGAGCGTTCATAGAGCGTTGAACGCGCGACAAAACGTAAAGGTGTGAACGGGGCCTTAGAGCAAGAGATACTCGGAGTGGATAGCTTGATTGTAGATAAATCTTGGAGGCTCTGAGACTTGGATAATGACCCGGTGAGTCATGAATAGTGATATCACCCTGAGTAATGATCACACATGGAGGAAAGTTCGACCAAACAGTGTGTAAAGTCTCAAATATATTGTACTCACGGGTGTTCAGTTGCTTCACCGGGCAGTTCGTGTCGAGAGGTATGGAATGTCTCGATGTCAGGCTGCTCCAGGCAGTCCTCCTTTTGATGTTAATTAATCCACTTGGGCAGAAAATCAAAGGTTCTTGGATGGTTTCCTTGATGTATGAAGTGATATTGGAAGGTCCCAGATGGTTTTAATTTTATCGATGAAATACTCCTAGTGTCGCGCTGTTTTGTAGTCCAAAACCGGGAAGTATTTATTGGTTTCAGCCTTCAAGGTGGCAAAAAGTTGTCTTTGGCCTCCAAGTATACCAGCTTCAGTCTCACAAGATGGGACCCTTTACAAGGAGCTGCCTTGCTGGTTGAGGCCCCTTGAAAAGGTGTAGTAATGCTGGTTAGGGCCTCCAAATGCCTCCAAACAGGGGCCTCCTCATGGTGCCAGGGCACAGGTTGTGTCACTGCAAGGTGATGCACTTCTAGTTGGGACTCCTGCAAAGTGATGTGGCCCCCAAAATTGCTGGGACCTTTCATTGCTGGTTGCAGCTCTCGGATGTTAGATTGGCCTCCTCAAGGTGCTGCAGCACCAGTTGGGCCCTTGAGAGAGGGGAGCAATTGACTCTGTGGCACCTTGAGGGGCCCAGCCAACACTGTGGCACCATGGAGGGATGGCCAAACCTGCAATGCAGCACCTTGATGGGTATGCGGCCCAACCTGCGCTACAGCATCTTCCCATCTTGTCCCATCTGAAGGTGCCGCAGCACAGTTTGGTCAAAACCCTCATCAAGGTGCTGTATTGCAGGTTTGCCCCCCCCCC